CTATAATCACTGTGAGCTTCCAGACCAAAACCACTTATTATAGAACTTCAAAACCTTATGCATGCACGATACAAGGACGAGGATATTATCCACGTGATTACAGAGCGATAATGGCTTGTGTTCGCTGTGCTCGTATATAAAATCTTATCTCGTAAAATCATTGAGCGAAAATTTCTCAACTATGGTTTCCTTCTCGTTCCAACACTCCCAAGAAGTCTTCCATTTTTCTATGGTTCCGAGAGAGACGTACGCGCGGTGTTAGATAAGCGCGTGGCATGGGTCGTAATATTTCACGTTGTTTGCGGCTAGTTGTCTGTGGTAACTCAACACTTAAGCAGTTCATAAGGCAGCCAGACTCAGCCGTATAATTATCCTGCTTGATAACGCGTTCCCGAAGAAATGGCTCGCTGATGAAATACAAAGTCTGCCTCTGCCTGAGGCCGTTCCCTGCGAAATCCCATTTTTCAAATGACAAGTGGCATGCAAGGTCGCCTTGTGCTGCCCACTGGAAGAACGTATCAATCACCCTGTTCACAGTTCCTTTATATATATATGGGGGGGGTGCGTGCGTGCGCGCGTGCGTGCGTGCGTGCGTGCGTATTAGTGCTAGATACTAATTCACTAGCACAGTTCACTACATAACAAGCAATCCGACGAGAAAAAAGCGCTGGGCTGTCTTCTACCTAGTTAACCTTTATTCACGCCGATCGTTGCCGAACTGTGATGGAATTTGTCGATTTGTGACCAAGCGCACGTTTCAAACCTATCAAAATGTGACTGTTTGTGACTACGCTTCCCGCAATAAACACTACTAAACAAAACTATACCTACAAAATCATCGCTACTATTTGTGCGAAAAACTCGTTTTGGAAGTCGGGTTATTTTTTATACGTTGTTTCACGTTTTGCAGAAGCCAACATTGTGAAATACATCCGTTCACATGTGATTTATCGAGCAACAACCCTTGTTACTACTCTATGCGAACGATATCAGTTTGATGTGAATGACTATCTCAGAGAAACGTGATGTTAACTCAACTACTGGTGTATTTATAACGAAATACGGTCGTGCACAGATGACAGATGATGGTACTTGAAGCTTATATAGCGTAGCGGCATGAAGCGTAATTGCATCATTCAAACGACACAAACGTTCATTTGTCTAGTTGATTACATCAATCACGTGTGAATACCGCATGTATACCCAAAGCTGAGTGACGGATCAGAATTGCTAATGAGTGTGTTCACCTTACAATCCGATGATTGCTATTAGCAGGTAAATAATGCGAACATAGCTGGTTCTATGTCACATTATACGCGTTAAGGTAATGCGATGACATTTACGCTTGTGAAGAAAGTTGCGGTTAGCGGGCAACCATTGGGATTCGTTCGTGGCTCTCTCCTTCTTTGTGCGTTCACCTTCTTGAGGATCTAAAGCCAAGATTTTATAGGGATTAATTCATATGAAATTTTGGAAAGAATCAATATTAACGTATCAGACTAATCTTGCCGTAATTTGTTTTGAGATTCTAATAAAATTACCTGCTGGAGAAGATGGTTGTAGTCCTCTACTCTCAGAGCACCATCCCAGCCAATCATAACCAGCTGTGGAATCTCATTTATCTGGAGATTTCCTGGAGCGTCTGGGCTACTGCACTTGCAGTCTGGCAGTCTGCAGGCGTTAGGGTCACAGATCGGAGCACAGCCCTCTTCGTCCTCTCCATTGTTGCAATCAATAACTCCGTTGCACATGTTTCTTGGGTCGTAGCACGCAGCTAGAAAATTTATATTCGGCTATAGATGCAAAACACCGGCACTAGAAACTCGCGGATAAAAATATCTAGCGATTACGATTGAAAACATTCGCAACTAAACACTAAATTTATTATACCTGGGTCAAGATCTTCTGGAGCGATTTCCACAGGTGCTGGTGTGGGTGGAGCCTCGTATCTGCACTCGTCGTTAACCGCAAAGTACTTGTCGGTGCATCTCTCCAATGCTGGTGTCCAGATGGTGTCACCTGGGCAACGACGGATCTTCGGCCATCCGTGATCGCAGATGTAGAACACCTGGCAATCGGCGGCATCGGTAGAGAAGTTCTTAGCGCCGACCTTCGGGTTGCAGTCATCCTCTGCCTGTACCGGTACTCCCAGACGCTTTTCCAGCGGACTGGCCGCGGCTGTTGTATATCATAATTAATATGCAATATTATTACAAATATTGTACATACACAGCGCACTATATAGATGTTCGATATTTTGTTCGATATCAATTTTAAATTGGTATTGTCTCAATAATTTTACAGTCATTGATTAGTCAATGGGAAAGTATTTGCGTGTACGGCTGAATCCATTTATCGCCTTGTATAGCGGTGGCATACTACCAACCAATTAAACCAAGTTATAAATGAATAACTACTTACCCATATACACGAGAGCGCACAGAGCAATGATGAGGACCTTCATGTTGCTACTTGTGAGGCTGCAATCAGACTGCTTAGCCGCTAATTTAACTCACTTTATATACAGCTTTCGGTCACAGTTGAACTACATTGCTGAAACTTGTTTTACAAGCCGCGGGCCGTGACAACACGCCCGCCATTCCAATGAGCATGAAACATTCCCTCTACCAGTTTTTGGAAGACTCGTGGATCGAGTCTCTTTACTGTCTACAGTCATTACCCTATGCAATCGTTTTTACGACGGGCAGACATAATATTTTCATATGTAATATCAAGAGTCCATAATAAAAAAATAGTCCATAGTCCATTCAATTATGGACTTTTGGTAATATCTACGCGGTGTAATCTATATATACCCTTTTGTTTTAGGCTTAGCTGTCCGAAGATCGCTCGATTCCCGTTAATTGAACGAATGCGAACCGCATCATTTTCTTGTCCTAGCTCAGGTGGCTAACTTTGGATGTGTTAATGCTTCCATACTGTATATATCCATAGTTCTTTTGCTTAAACACGCGTAATAAATGTAAAGTATAGTGTATATAAGGCATAAAGCATGTGATTATTCGTACAACTTATTCATATCTCCGATTATAACACCTAGAATATGGCTTCGCGCTTGTTTCACGCCAACGGTTGTAGATTTTGAACTTGTCCTTCTATTTATATCTCGCGCATTCTTTCTTTGCGTATGCGCGGAGGTATGTGTGTATGCGTGTGTGCAATGCGTGCGTGTATGCGCGCGTATGTATGTATGCGTGTGTGTGCGCGCGCATGTGTGAGTGCGTGCTCATGGTTTGACTTCCTAAGCTAATTTCTGTTGCTTTCTGTCTACTAGACATAAAGCTAATAGCGTGTTATCAGTGTCACGTTACCTAGTTATCATAGCATTGTCGTGAAAGGACATCAATTCAGCGGGTGGCGACTGGCACTCGATGCGCCGCAGTTGTCTATGTTTGCAATTATTATACACGGTTCGAAAGCGGAAAAGATTGCATTCAGGCAACCGTCACTGGCCACGACGCGTAATCATCGTGACTTCAGCCACGGTGTCGTTACGGTGTCTGACAGTAGTCTACCGCTGGCAGGCCGTCACCATGCAAAGCTACCTCTACGAGTGACGCATCGGGTGACTTACCTATCAATTGCTGCGCGGTCGCACACAGCAGAAACTGTAAAAAAAAAGAATTGTGGTTTACTATGACGAATTGCTCGGCGGGTCAACCAGTCCGCGGTCGAGCGGAAGTATTAGCGATTATGTCGCGATTATTTCATGAATTCGTGATCATTTTGAAAAGTGGGATTTTAGTAATAAGTATGGCGAAACGACACCGTAAAAATTACTGAAGAGCTTACCGAAACGGAAATTGCCAGATATCCGATCATGTTGGTAGGAGTGATGACCTGAAAAAAGCAAGTTTTTTAATCATTGGTAAACAAAATTGCCCAAATTATTCATATATGATACCATCCGCGGCAGAAAAGCTTCATCACGTTTTACGAGATGTCGCAAACGTAATTAAGTATCATCACAAAACAATGACTATTTTATCATATTATCAGGAGTGAATAATAGAGATATCTATTATTCACTCCTGGTATTATTGTATAAACGCGCGCGCACCCACACGCATACAGGGTCATGCCCACACACGCGCACAGGCACAGATGCACACGCTCACGCACAAACCTATATGCACAGATACATGCGTATTCGGAAATAAAAAAGAGGTCATACGTCGTGATCAGAACTACGAAGCACTTTGATGCTTCTCTTTCGACAATTATGGTTTCGATGCGTACATTACTTTATGGCGGGCATATGTATTTCGCTGCAGAGGTTGTCCGTTTTATGCACCAAACACATTCGCGATGACATCATTATTTCATAATCGATGTCACAACGACACGCTGCTTACGATCGACTAGTCGATCTCACACGACGTTTGCCATTCTACGATTCAATGCCTCCGCGTTTGTTCTGTTGCACTTCATTGCATTCGTGCTATAAGTTACCGGTATGTGTCGACATTCTTTTATTCAATAGAAAGCTGCTAAACTAGGGTAAGAACCCAACAAGCGCGATGTTAGTTTTCACACTGTCAGATTCAGTGCCCACCCGTTAGTTTGCATTCGGTTGCACACAATAGACTACAATTCGAAACGATTTTCTTAAAACGAATAGCCTTTTGCTTTTTTTACGACCCTCGCCTTTTTTATCGTTGGCTGTGTGCGATAGAAATCTCTAACGTCGAGTTACTAACACTACTCTTAGGCACATGAGAAGCGCCGGTAAGCCCCTTGATCCCCGTGAAGATGCGTGCGGCGTGGCCTTGGATTTGGCTCTACATGACCGCATAGACGTCTTCACCTTTGTTTGCGCACGGTACGTACAGCCACCTGCGTAGGTCATCTCTCGCTAATGCGTTAATCCCTTAAGATGCGCTAATCTAACATCTGCCGATTCTATATCATAAAAAAGTACTATAGTAAGAGCGTATCTATCTATATGAATTACGCAGCGTCGTAATATGATATCGTACCCATCCTCATCGATGATCATCTGTTCGCCCATGCCCATGCCATCTCGGGCGATGCAGCTGGACACTGTGAAGCCGTACACCTCTGCAGAGAGTAGAAATGAACACATCAGTTAGCAAATGCGCCCAATGATATTATACTTGCAAGGAAATTAATTGCGAAAGCATTTTCATTCTATTAATATCATTACTCATGGGGAGTTTCGTTGTGCTCTGTCGTCATTGTGCGTCACTCTGTCGTCATTCTGCGTCACACAGACGTCATTCTGCGTCATTCGGTCGTCAATGTGCGCCACTCTGACGTCACTGTGCGTCACATGTCGTCACTGTGCGTCACATGTAGCGATGCGCAGCGTGTGTACGTACCGCTGATTGACATATCGATGACAAACGTCAGCGTGGTTCCAAGTGGAACAGCTCCACTGACAAGTGGTCCGTCTGGGCTGTCGCCCACCTTAATCAGCAGGTTACATTTGGGTAGGTTTGGAGCCACTGAGGCCAGCTGCGTGATTGGCACCATGCTGTAAGTACAAATCAATATCTGTCACAAGAAACAAACGCTAGACGACGACGGTAGCGTCTGCAATATCACGTAGGGTATATTATTAAAATAAGAGAAAGGGCGCGAACAAGTGGAAAGCTTGCATGTATAAACAGTAGCAGATTTAATCAGATCCATAAGTGGAAAGCTTGCATGTATAAACAGTAGCAGATTTAATCAGATCCATAAGTGGAAAGCTTGCATGTATAAACAGTAGCAGATTTATTCAGATCCATTATTGAAACGAAAATCACGCGGTTTGCTACATCGCTGCTACCACAGTTATATCGTGGTGGATGGTGCTGACACCTTTCGATGATAATTGGGGTTAAAAATTCCGAATAAGCGGTAAATGTGACTGAGCTAAGCGAGAACATGAGTGAGTGAGTGAGTGAGTGAGTGAGTGAGTGAGTGAATGAGTGAGTGATTGCCGCTATAACGCCCCTGTCGGGATGAGTGAATAAATTGCGCGCTAACATAAAGACGCTGCTACAATAATCAGTTCTGTATATATATCTTGTATATGTGTCTTGTCTCTGATGGTGGAGATTTACATTCAATACGACTAGTCAAACAGGATGGGTTACATTGAAAAAGTCTAGCATTACCTGCAAAAACCTGCACATAATTATCGTCAATTTTGTGCGTGAATGCCCTGCTTTGAAACGCCATCGTGGAAGAAAAAACATCACCGATAGAAGCAATTGTTTTCCTTGAGACGTCGCCTCATGGCGCATCAACATATCACCGATTATGATAAATTTGCAACTTTTATGTCAAACATCGTCAGAATACTGACAACTAAATCGTGTTTATATGACATGCCAACATTTTTCGAACCTGTTTTTGCACAGTCTAATGAGCTGTAATCACGCGCTTCCAGTATATGGAAGGACACGACGCGAATGCATTCAGGAACATGTTATGTGGCATCAGCATTTGCACGCTAAGGTTACGGAGTGATGAAGAAACTTTGTGCCGTATCGTAGACTTGGCAAATGTAAACGATGTATTAACGTTCTAATATTCCCCGTGTGAAAGTGTCTATCGCACACCACGAAGTTATCAAGTTGAAACATTGAATCTCTGGCCTTTAGTACCTCCATACTAGCTATAGTATTAAATTTTGGACAATCATACGGAAATCTTCTATTGTGGCCTATGATATTATATACATACGCGTCAATAGCCTCAATACTATATACGAGCGTTAACCAATTCTTTTAACACGAGCAAAATCGAAGGACCTAAAACGAACTCACATTAAACTACAAACATATGAAATATACATATTACAATATACATCATGCACGCAGTAAGAATGTACAACTACGATCGCGTGAAACTATTCACGGCTATATCTCTAGAACATATAAGGAGCGTACCTGCGCAGGTAAATCCAGGTGATGTTAGTATTTCCGTGAGCACTACAAACGGTCGTGGCTGTCGTGGCTGTCGTGTAGCTCGTGCTTGCTGGGACTACTCGATGCCGACGCTGCGTGGCGCCTGATTTTATACCGGCCGCTGCGAGCGCTCGTCCGTCAACCCTGTCTCGTTCCCGCCCCCCGATGCGAACGGCTGGCCTTTGTCACTGGTTCCCAGCTCACACGGCGGACAGGTGAGGGTTCGTAGACGCCCCGCGTGTAGGCGGCGGCACGTACAATATCGGTTAGATATTCCGGCCACGATCGCGAGGCGAATCAGGAAGGAAAAGTGAAAGCGTTCGCTTGCGTGCGCACGACGCAATTAGCAACCTGTGCGTAGCTAGCGGCATGCAGCTTTCACCTCTCACTTTAGTTAATGAGCACCGGGTGAACGTGATGGCAACAGCGCCGGCGGCTGTATGGTGGCCCAGGAAGGAGAATACACTGTTCAGTGCTGAGTAGACGTTAACGGCAGTATTGTGGGGTTAGAGGTCGGGGGCCACTATATACCCGGTAACACCCATCGCCTAACTACTACACTGCAGCCGCTGCCCTACTGCTACTGCTAGGTGTTGCTAGGAGTTGGTAATAAGGTCTGATAGCAATAACCCAAAGACCGACCCTAATCTTATAGTAAACTCATAATAGTAAACGAATATTATTGATATAATAGTACCAATCCTAATTTTATTAGCCCCCGCTGAAGAATATGAAACACCTTCAGGGCTACTAAAATGTTGCCATGCAACACGTACGCCCTGACACTTTGATCAGCTTCAAATCTTAGAGTCAAACTTGGTATCTCCGTTAAGTGGTTATTTACATATCTGCGCATCAGCAATATTAACGCATACAAGTTATTACACACTGTTAAATATATATATACGTCACGATTGCAATCTACACGTCACATGCATTTATCTCGCATAATTTCAGACGATTACACAGCTGCCTCCCCGTAGCAGCCGCATCCGCCGCGCAAGTTGCAGCCGACTGCTCTCGCTCCATCTTCATATATCTCCGCAGTTTCTGCTGCTTTTGGCAAGTTTCGTCAAACGCTCTGAGCGTATGATTGTGTACACGGCAGAATCCGTGTTTGCGAAAACAAGCCTTTCGAGTTGAGCTCGTAATCGCATTACAGGGAACACGTCTTACGCGCGCTCCATTGTGCGACGTGCAATTTCACTTGCACATAACGTATTTGTGATGGGCCAAAACAGGCCAAACTTCTTCAAATCAGTTTAACAGCCACGTTTGGATGAGAGCGAGTCAGCTTCACTAGCACTTCCTGTCCGGGACGCGAAATTTTTTTTCCCCACGAGAGTTCCGGACCCCAGCCAATCA